GCAAGGCAGGAGTCGTCGGGCTACAGCTACCAGGCCTTGTGGGGAGACCTTATGCTGCTATGTTTATCTTCGGTACTGCCCCGAGACAGTAACAGTCTGTAATTAGGAGCGACTATTCATGGGTTTACTTACTTATATACATATATGTATATATATCCATATATATTTCTATATATATCCATATATCCATATATTGGAATTAATGTTGAATTGTTACCGAGTGGGGGGCAGTATCTAATGTTTGTGGTTTCGAGTTTAGGGTTCAGGCACACAAACAGTAGCCCCAAACAGACGGAGTATACGCTTTTGATGTCGTCTACTTCTTAAAGGGGAACGGACCTAGATACCTAGAAAGTGTATCGGCGGAAGGGATTCAAAGGCCAAGTAGATGCCAAGTCCAAGTAAACTTCGTTTCTGCAGGCGGCTGGCTTTGGCTCTGCCGCCCGGTTCCCAGCTGGAGCTCTTTTGCAGACATGGCAACGGCAACCTTAACCTTGAGGCTTGAGCTTGTATGGACCCTTTGCCAGGGGGTACCTGGACCCTTACACGTAGTTCTTTCTTTTTTCTTATTCGAGGATCCTAACCATCAAACTAGATTATCCAATAAGCGGTGCTACATCGTAGGGTCCAGGTATAGGGACCTCTCTTCAGACACTGTGACGGGTCCCTTTACTCTCCTTCTCTCCCTTTTGCCTCTGAGGCTCCCGGCAGGGATCGGGCCTTCAACCCGGCCCCAAGCTCAGGCTCCAGTTTGAAGGCTGCCTTAAAGGGGGTTTAGGGTTTAGGGTTTAGGGGTTTAGAGTTTAGGGTTAGCTCCTCCTCCAATCCCATACTAATCCGGCATATGTCATCATATCGGTGCGACGTTGAAAACCACGAAGGGGGGTGAGGCCACTAGCACAAGGCTGTTGCATTTTGTGCCCTCAGCCCTACAAATCATAAGCTCTTGAGCCATTCAAACCCCCAAGCTCCCCAAGCTCAGGCGCAGATCTTCAAGGGAACCCTGCTGATGTCCGGGGCCTTCTTTGCAGGCGCCAATTTACAGGACTCCTGGAGAAGTCCTGGGGTCTCTAGGACCGGAGCCTAGGTTCTTTTTACCAAACGCCTCAAGCTTCTCAGCTTCCAGTCCCTGCCCAAGGCCGCCTGGCCAGTTGTCTAGCCCTATGTTGCGCTTTTTTGGGGGCATGCTTAGAGAGAAGGCCTTGAAGATCCTTATTTGCTTTAAAGGGTTTGTGCAGCTAGAGCCCCCAACAGCCCTATATTTTAAAATCACAGAAAAATTAAGGCCGAATTGCCCAAACATCCGAAGCCTTGGCACCCCCAGTTCCCGGATGCAGGGAACGCCCTCGTCCGGTGCTGGCAGCGGGAAGCAGCGGACTTCCAAAAGGCGGAGCGCTCAGAGGCTCCAACAGCACGAGGCTTACGGCCTACGGGTTTAGGGTTTAGGGTTTAGGAGTCTTGGCGGGTGGGGGGACCTAAACTCCAGGCTCAATAGGAGAGGTTGCAACTTGCGGTGAGACAAGTAGATCTTCGCTGATTGAGTGGGCGATGTGGACTGCACATCTCGCCCTGAAGCTGTCAGGTTTCTTGCAAAGTCGCGTCCGTGAGGTGTCAGGCGATCTAAAGTTGCATGAGCCTGTTTAGACAGTGGGGGAAGGTGAAGCTCTGGGTGTTCAGCTCCAAGGTCTACACCTGAGCCGCGTCCGGCGCAAAAACCTGCACCTTCTCCGCTTTGCCTGCGCTCAATGTGGCCACATCTCCATATCTCAAATCTCCGCCAAGAGTCCGGCCCTGCCGTGCCGTGGCAGTTTCAGAAGTGTCCGGTCATGGGAGCCCCCGTGCACATCCACGGCGCAACACTGCAGTGTCACGGTTGGGCGAAAAATACCGAAGCTTCACATCACTCAATGTTTCTAGAAGCCAAGCACCAAGCTAGAGCAGCTAGCATTGGTAAAGCCTTGTCCATGGCCTCCGACTCGGATGATGCTGCCTCCTATGCGGCAATTGCCAAGGACTTCTCTTCATGTGAGCCTTGTGAGCTTCAGCCCTGTGTGGGACCACAAAGACAAGCCCTGCACCGCGAAATCTAAAGACACTAAAGCCGATGAGCCTTGCAGTCCCTGCACTGCACCCTGGAGTGCTCATCATCGCCTTATAAAGCCCTATAAATCCAGGGAAAAGCACTGAAGCACCGGAAGCCCAAACAGTTGGTCCCTGGCTTCCTGGGTTGCAGGCCGCCACTTCCCCAGAGGACGTGGAAGAAGCTCTAGAGTCGGGTGCTCGGCTCTGACTACTTAGAGTACACATTGACTCTCTACCCCTGGTGGGAAAACAGGGGCACCCTCCTGCTTGAAGGGGTACTGAGTTTGGAGCTTTGAGGGTTGTGCGGGTTGGGGTCTGGAGTTTGAGTGAAGGCTTACAGTAGGGGCTTAAGTTTTGAGCTCGGTTTCTCCCTGTCTGTCTGTCTGTCTGTCTGTCTGTCTGTCTGTCTTTCGAGGGCGGCGGAAGCTGCAGAGCAGCTCGCCCAGACCAACGGCGATACTAAGGGTGAGGCCGGCAAGGAAGTTGTAGTCCTGGAACGAGGCGGCTTCTTCTGGCTTTGAGAAGGACTACTATTATTGTTATTGTTGATGTTATTATTCGGATTATGATCATTATGCTTGCTATTAATACTATTCTTCTTCGTAGTGTTGTTTCTGTTTTTCTTATCTTCTTCTTATCACTACTGTCATTTAATCGAATTCGAGTCGGATGAATCGGGTCAGCTGGTTCTACTTGTAGGCTCCAGGTCCCCAAAAAACCACCAGCGGCAGGCCTGTGCTGCGCACACCATCGCGCTTCTGAAGTTCCGGCTGGAGGCCGACACCCCAATTGGGCCCGCCCCTTTTGCCCCGGCAAGTGGGAGGACTTCGAGGAGGCTTTGGCCGCAGGGCAGCGAAGTTGCGGCCGGCGCCTTGGCGGGGATCGTGCGGAGCCTTGCTGTGTCGTCGTTGAGAGCGTCTCCCGGCGTGTCGACTCCGAAGGCCTCTTCCGAGAGCTAAAGTTGGAGCACCTGGAGGCAGAGGGAGCGCAAAAGAGCGCGACAGAGAGCGACAAAAAGGGCGAGCTCAAAAAAAGGCATGAGATTCGAGGAAAGGCCATTGGTGCTCTGCAGGCCCGGGCTCGTGCAGGCCTTGCCGATGCGGCTTTGAGGCGGGGACCGGGGCGCGTGCTCTCAAAGAGAGCCCGTGACCTCCGCTGAGCGTCCTTGAGGCGCCGCCCTCCGGCAGAGGCTCGCTCCCCGGACCTTGGAAAGAGACAAAGCGCCTCCAGGGGAAGCCTCGCTCGTTTCGAGGCTGAGGGCAAGCGCTTCGTCGACGAGGCACCGGGAAACTTCGCGGGAAAGTTGAAAAAACACACACAGAAATCGACGTGTCAACTTCGAGGCCATGGACTTAGCCGAGGGGGCGCTTCAGACCTTCGAGAGGTCGGGGACTCGACTGTGAGGGGCGGACCCAAAAAACCCTCCGAAGTTCTAAGCGTTGTGGAGGCTCGATGATTCCTCAGGCCGGGTGGGTAGCGCTGTCAGACTCATCGATGTACGCTCCGGCCTGGCATTGGCGGCGAATCACTGCTACCAAAGCGCATCACTATGCTACTAACTTCACTTCCTCGCACTAATTACTCCTCCTCCTCCTCCTCCTCATTCCTGCTCCCCCTACGACTAAACACTGTACCTGTCATCATCCCCACCGCCCCCACCACCACCACCACCACCACCCCCACCACCACCATCATCAGCATCATCAGTATCATCAGTATCACTGCCAACGGGCCCACGAAGCACAAAACCACAGCGACAGGAAGCGCACATGGCTGCTGCTGCTGCCGCTATTATTACCAAAACTACCACTACCACTACCACTGCCACTGCCACGACGACGACTACGACTCCTACTCCTCCAGTACTTGTGCTGCTGCTGCTGCTACTGCTACTAGTAGTAGTAGTAGTCGTCGTCGTCGTAGGAGTACTGCTACTGCTCCACCGCCACTGCCGTCAATGAGAAAAGCTGTCAGAGTAGCCAAGGCTCCAAGACAGGGTCATCAGCACAAAATGACACTTCAAACAGTTCCTAAAAACCTCAACTTTCTCCGCTTTCAGCTGCTTTCAACTGCTTTCAGCTGCTTTTTTCCGGCCTGGAGCAGGTGGGCTCTGGCTCTGGCCGGGACCCGGGCATCCTCCGACACGAAGCGAAGGTTTCTGGAGTTTACGGGTTTTTTGGGGCCCTCGATTCCCAAAACGAGGGGTTAGGGTCACCGATGAGTCCTCTTGCCGTGAAAGCCCTTGCTTCGTGCATAACATGCTTCCGTGGTTTTGGCATGCATTCGCGGCCATCGTCGTTACAGTAGCGATATCGCAGCAGTCTTGCGTGGTATTCATGAAAAGGCGACGATGCAAGCACGAACACAGCTGTAGAGACAAAGGGGCAATCATTCTCCAGCTCCATTCCGGTCCATGCTCCATGTTCTTTCGACACCATGAGGCCGCCGTTTTCTGCTCCATTCCAGCGTCATTCGAGTGCAGAGTGGAGCTCTTGATGCAGCTTCTGAGCCATCTACAGAGAGTGCTCGTGATAGCCTGCGGAATGTCTACCTACATACATATATTTATAAAGCCATGTCATGCATGAGATCATACCATATTGTAGAGCCACGTCAGCCACGGACAGTGCCCAAACGGGTCCCAGTGCTTGGCTGTTGCCTTCGATCCGAAGAGCGGCGCTGATGGGAAACCAGGACCATTCGTATGCACTGCACAGTCTCTGTGATCAGGCGTAGCCAAAAATAGAAAAATGCAATGACAACTCTTCTTCAAGGCGGTAGATTATGCTCACCATGACAGGGCCATGAGACAAATCCTGTGCTTTTCTCATCAAGGAAAGTTTAAACAAGTTCTTGTTGCCGTAGGTCATAGGTACATAATGACAAGGATTTGAAGCAAAGTCTTATGGCTGCGAGGAGGTTGCACGACGCACCTCATCTGTGTTGTTGGTTGCATTCGATCCCCCAGCTTGGCAAGCAAATTCTTTCCCGCTCCTCGTCACCCTCACTCTCTCTCTCTCTCTCGCCGAAACCTGAAAACCCTACACCGATAGCGATCTTGCGTCGGAACCGCCCATGAAGAGGAGAGCCACAGCGAAAAGGGGATGGCATGCAGGCTTTGGCCGATGATGCGGGCAAACGCATCCTTGGTTCAAGTGGCACGGTGTATGGCGTGGACACGGCTGGTTCATTGGTTTTCATGTTCGGCCCCCTCGCAGAATCTGCGCAAGAAGCCCATGCTCTTGAAATCCCGATTCTGGAAAAGCAGTTGTGAAAGTGCAGTCGGTACCATGCGCGTTCTGTGCCTTCCCATAGGAAGAGCTTTGCACAGCTGGGGTTGCAACGATGATGAGGCCTGGGCAGAGTTCCTTCCGATGGTTCGAACGGTGGCC